AGTAGAAGCTAAAATCAAATCAGCCATTTAACTTTTCTTCTATATGTTTGAGGGACTTTGCAGATTTCTCCAATACGTTTATCTACTTCTTTTACTTGAGGATATTACATAATTGAGTTGCAGCTGAAACATTCCTTACAAGAAGTGATGCTTGATAGACTTTCTTCCTTGCCTCCTCTAGATATTTTAAGATTGTATATATTAATGAAATTCTCTGTGGCATATATACAGCACGTGTTGATCATATCTGTCTTTCTTCTCCTGTCCTGTGCACTATTCCTAGTCTCTAGTGGTCACTATTCTACTTTCATACCAACAATTTGTGTGCATGACAGAGAATGTGCAATACTTATTTAACTGTGTCTCGTTTATTTCCATTCCATCTGTTTTATTGCACAGCACAGGATTATATACTTTATGGTTAATATTCCATTGTCTATATACTGGCTTTTCTGTATGTGTTTATCTTTTGTTGGACATCTAGGTTAAAACATGATGTTATAGCTTAGCTACTGTGAGTAGTAAACATGGAAATGTAGGAATAACTTTTGTTTGCTCACTTTAATTTTTTTCTTATATGAAAAGGGGATCAAGACATGGTAGAAGGGGATAGTGGGAGTTACATTGTGTGTGTGTGTCCTCTTTTTAAATAGAAGTCTCAGCTGACTTTTGAGAATGAGAGCATTCATTCTGAAGTTTGTCAATTTGCCTTCAGAATTTTTGAACTTCTGGCTAATTGAAACTTTATATTATCACTTAGATGGTATAAGAATGGAATATGAAAATAGATATAAATGCTTAGTAGCGTTGGTGTTTGGTAATGTTAGATATGTAATTTATTTATTTATTTATTTTCAGTACTGGGGGTTGAACCCAGAGCTTTTGCCCTAGGCTACAGCCCCTAGACCTTTTTTTATTTTGAGATAGATTTTTTTTTTTTTTTTTTTTTTTTTTTTTTTGGTTTTTTGAGACAGGGTCTCACTATGTAGTTGAAACTGACCTGGAACTCACTATGTAGCTCAGGCTGATCTCGAACTCATAGCGATTCTCCTGCTTCAGCCTCCTTAGTGCTGGGATTACAGGCGTGCGCCACCATGCCTGGCAACATGTAATGTATTGAACTCTAAATATTGTATATAGTAGGAACAGATTTCCTTTGAATCCTAGCAAGTAGAGTGTTTTACATTTTGACATTTTACTCATTATAAAATGATAATTTTGTGAAATCATCTTTTTATAGGAAAGAGAATATCATTTTTTCCTTTTTTCTTGGTACGTTTTAGCTATACAACACAGTTACATTCATCATAGAATCTTGTACATTTACATGATATATCTTGGTTCTTACTTTTTTCCCATTCAGTTGCCCTTCCTTCACCCCTTCCACCCTTCCCTGTTTACAGAGACTTTGTTTGCATTTTTTCTTTTCCTTTTCCTTTTTTAGCTCTCCCCTATCCCTCTCATTTCCCCTACACCTTTAGACATTTTTTCCGATTACACAATATCAATTATGTGTTTTGTGCTTCCTTCTTACACTTTTATCACACCAGAGAAACTATTCAATATTTACATATGGGTGGGTTATGAATTACACTTAAGAGTATGTCCCTAATTTGCAAACACTTAGCTATAAATGTCTAATTTCTCATTCTGTATGGATGCATAGTATTCCATTTTATTAAAAAAAAACCACAACAACACATCTTCTTTATCCCTTCTCCAGTTATTGGCAGTCAGGCTGTATCCAAGTTTCATCTGTTACAAACTATGTCGTTATAAACATGGGTGAGCATGTATTACTGTGGTATGCTCTTTTAAATTCTTTTGGGAAGACACCCAGCTGGGGAGTAGGTGGGTCCATTGGAAATGAGTGCTAAATGTGTCTGCTTTTATTTGAATTATGGGAAGAAATAAACTGTAAATGAGAATGAAACTCATAGTTGTATTTTGAAATACTGCTACACATTGACTAAACAAAGTTGTGAGGGCAACGTTAGGATAACTTGCTAGAATGTCAGTACTGTAAAGTATTAAGTGTTTCATTATGAAATGAAGTTACTTTATTTTACAGAGAAGAAAAGATGATACTCAGGAAGTCAAATTCTTGTCTTCCCCGAGGATCATACATCCCCTTGGGATGTATGTTGAGGAAGTGGGGAGGAAGAGTAGAGGCAGCAGTCAGGGATTGTAGCTCTGGATGTTAATGATGAGTTACTGAACTTAACTTTGTACTTTATGAGGCTCATAAAATGGGCAAAGGCTAAAGATGAAGTATGGAATGGATCCTTAAAAATGACAAAACCTCAGTATGAAATTTTCCTTAACCTTTGGTGCAAATATTTTTTTTCTCATTATAAAAACTGTGAAATCTTGCTACAGAAAATTATGGAACTTTCAACATCTAGGCAGACAAATATTAAAAATACAAAAATTCCACCATGATTGACTCTAGATTGTTATTGTCACCTTGATATATATTACCAGACCCAGTTGTTTTGAGTTATATAAAAATTTAGTATGTGTTAAATATAGTATATATGGGCTCATATATGTGCATTGCATATGAGTATATTTTTCCCAGTGAATAATTTTTCCAGTTTTTTTGCTACTATTGACTTTCAAGAGCATTTTCATAAATAGCACTTTATACATATCCTTACTTGTTACTTAAGAAAAACTTATGGAAATAGAATTTCCACAATAAAGAGTGATATTTTTGAAGAGTTCTGTTTTTAAGTAAAATTGGTAGTGAATTATCTTCATAGTACTTTTGTTAAAAAGAAGAGAAAAGCCAGTCCAGTTCCCTCCTTTTGGTTTCAGAAGTAGCTCATTATCCATTTAGTAGTGCTGGGCCTGTAACGTTTATGTGTTGTTTAAGGGTAATCAGCCAAGATGTTTGCCTCTGAAATGAAGTAATTTTCCCATGAGAACATGTTCCATTGTGAGTCTGAGGAATTTCAATGTAGTTAATGATATTTTACATTTTTCAGAATTTATTTATGGTTTTGAAATGCAGAAGCATCTAGTTAGTGCATTCAACCAGTAAAACATGAAGTTCTGTAACATAATAGATATTGCATAAGACATTGATTAAAATCATCTTTAAACATGGATTCCTCAGATTGTTATTCAGTTATTCTGATACATCTTATTATTTTAGTTGATATTTTGCATATGTATATTTAAAATAATTATTCAACATTGAGCTTTTTTCAAAATTCAGTGCTAAACATTTCTTTATTCACAATAGGCTTTTTAAAAATTATTTTTATTGGTACATCTAAGGTATACAATGTATTGACAGTCATCATTGGAAATTTTCACCTTTATGTAATCCATGTTGGTTCTTATTTTTCCCCATTCCCCTGCCCTCCCTTCAACCTCTCGACCCCACCCTATCCGCAAGGACTTTGTTTGCATTTCACAATAGGCTTTTAGTATTTCTTTGCTTGAATGAGGGAGTGACTGCATTAATAATCATAATATCCCAATTTTTCATTCAAAATTATATACTTAAGTTATATAGTTTATAATTCATATTCAGAATTTTGGAATTGGTTAATGAGGTTCAGATATAATAGATTTAAAACTAAATATTGTCCTGGTAGCATGTAATGAAAGAGGCATTTGACCTGTTATCAGAATTAGTTGTCATTTAGTGATAAGTTTGTGTGAGCATGTAATTTTGACACCTGAAATACTCATATGAGGGGCCTATGAGCATATCTTTGGGAAAAATTTTTACCCACATATTTTGTACTTTAGTTCTGATTGATTGTTTCAGATAGCCAACTAGATGTAATCTCAGCAAACCCTCTCTCTAGGTAATCCATTTCTTTAGGAGCATGAAACTATAAAACACATAGATTCTTCTACAAGAGCCTATATGTACCGTATAGAAAATAACGTAACCCATTACAAAATGTGGCAATTCTTAGTGTGTCAAACACTTGAGAAGCCGGTGAGTTTATCTCCTGTATTTGAGCTATTTTTAGCTTCAGTAACATACTTAGGAATGGTTTTAAATTCTTGGCCAATGTTTTACTTAACAAGCATGTGGCACCTAGGAATGTTAGGCAATTAATAACTATAACTACTAGTAAGCTTTCCCCAAGAACTCGTTTGTTTCAGAAACATGGACAGACAGCAACTGGTTTGTACATTTGATCTTAATTATAGGAGTTCAAACACGTTTGTCTGGTTGGAATGGTACAAATGCTCTAAATGAAGAAAAGTATTGTTTCATATTATGCCTATGTTGAATTGATACAAGTATCTTTATATTCTAAGAAGAGCACATTTTATTAGTGTGAGATGAACTCTTTCACTGTGAAAAATTTCATTTCTTCGAACAATATTTCTTGAGCACCCACTAATTGAAAGGCCTGAGATAAACATAGATGAATGAACAATTTGGTCCCTTCCATCATGACTTCGTCTCAGAGTGCTATATTATTCTTTAATTAGTTTACGCTTCTCTCTTAAAGTGTGATATTTATATAAATACTGTGCCCTATAATATTTAGTTACTGTATGATATTTAAAGTGCTGCAAGTGTTCAGTTAATGTACTAAGGTCCAAGATAAATATAGGTTGTATTGACAGCAACTGAAACATTAGAGTCAGAGTTGAGTTCAAGTTAGTTTCTGCTACATAGTAACTAAAACTTTATTCCCTCAATCTGTACAGTGAAGGTACTTTTTCTTGTTGTGTTCTGAGAATTAGAGAAAATACTTGTCTTTTCAATATGAGAATTCGTTCTTTTCATTTGAATGAATTATTTTATATAGATATTTTTATGCTCGGAGGAGGTCTTTCTCGGACTTTTGCAGCTGGGTTTTTAAGAAATATTTCTTTAATACTTAAACATTTTACAATTAAGTAAAATATACATTTTAATAATTGCAAAAAATAAATCTAGTATGTAGGCTATGATAACTGGTATTAGCAGTTTGGAAAATACTTTTCTTCAATTTTTTTTCCAGTTCCTGAAGAACAAACTTTAAGCACACGTTTTAGGGTAATTTTTGTTCATCTTCTAAGGTATGTCTACTGTCTCTTTTTTTTTCCTAACTTTATAAATGGATTTTTGAATATTTATATGAATAAAGTGTTTTTTGTTACTGCATTATGTAGATACTTCAGCATATAATTTTTTCAAGTATTCCTGTGTTAGAGAGAGAATTTGTTTTTCTCTTTTAAGTACCACTGCTATAAATCATAATCATGTCATTTTAAATACTTTTGCATTTTGTCAAAATAAAGTCAGGTCAGCACTGCCTGGGGAAAGTATCTTTAATATGCTAATGCTGATAGCTATGCTATTAACGGCCACATTTTCAGGAATGACCATTAGGGTTGATAATGTTCCTGATTTATAATGATTTTTTTATTAGTGAATCTGTATACAGGCAGATACTTTAATTAGTATCTAGAGTTTGTTAATCAAATTCTTATACAGATACAAAGAATTAATGATGAGATTATGGCTTTTTATCCTTCGGGATATCATTAAACATGGTTGTTTGGAATGCAAATCAATGAATGTTCTTTATTAATTAAGTTTATTGAAAGTTACATATGCACAAGCACATTATAATTACTGCCATATTAAATAATATAAATGCAATCAGTGTCAAAGGTATATAAGCCAGTTAATTAATATTCATGTTATGTATACTGTAATATTTTATGGATAATATATATCTGGTTTTATTTGAGTTTCATAATGTGTTGCTGAAAAGGTTTAGAATTTCACAGTAAAGTTTTGCCTGTCTGCTGTGACTATGTTTTGACATTTGAATGGATGTGGTGATAATACAAGGTTGAAAAGTGGTCCAGTTCACATGGACAGCCTCATTTAAGGACACACAACTTTCAGTTGGTTTCTGTAGGTCGGTTATGCCCCGAGAATTTATATACCAGAAAATAATTTTAAGACTTTCCAAACAACGTTGTTGAGATATGATGTTATTGCACATATTTAAAATGTAGTTTCATGTACCTGTGGAAATCACTGTAACAAAGATAATGAATGTATGCATTATTCCTCCCAAATTTCCTTATACACTTTCTAATCCTTTCTTTTCTTCCTCCTCCTTATATAACTGATCTGCCTTCTTAAATTAGGTTTATTTACATGTTCTGTAATTTTATATGAATGAATAAAACATTCTGTAGTGGTGTTTTCTGGACTTTTTATTTTTACTCTGCATTTCTTGAGTTCGATTAGAAAACATGGATTATGTCCTAGGTGTGTGTTTCATTTTTCCAGAGACCATCAAGTTGGACTGATTCTGTTGGCTCATGATTGCTTCCCACCAGCAGCACATGAGAGGTCCATTGGTTCCACGTTCTTGCAAACCTACGATATGGTTGGTTTTTTGAATTCCCACAAATCAAATATA